CCTTGTCCTCAGCGTCAGGAACCTTGTCCTCAGCGTCAGAAGCCCCGTCCTCAGCGTCAGGAACCTTGTTCTCAGCGTCAGAAACCTTGTTCTCAGCGTCAGGAACCTTGTCATCGGCGTGAGGAACGTTGTCTTCAGCGTAACGGATCTTGCCTCAGCGTGAATAACCTTGTCCTCAGCGTGAGGAACCTTGCGAAAGGCCTCCGAAGTTTTTACTCTTGTGCAATCGAAAAACTAGATTCTCATGAAATAATATAATAATAATGGGTTTTATTATTAAGACTATGTTTAATCCACGGTACAGTATCTACGCTTTAAGTTCTCTCATTTCTCTACCTGTAAGTTAAAAACTACATTATAACTTACAAGTTTGAGTGACGAGAATGCACGACGACCTCCGCGCGTGTCCTCAGCGTCAGCAACCTTGTCCTCAGCGTGAGGAACCTTGTCCTCAGCGTGAGGAACCTTGTCCTCAGTGTCAGGAGCCCTGTCCTCAGCGTCAGGAACCTTGTCCTCAGCGTCAGGAACCTTGTCTTCAGCACGAGGAGCCTTGTCCTCAGGGTCAGGTACCTTATTGTCCTCAGCCTGAGGAACCTTGTCTTTAGCGTGAGGAACCTTGTCTTCAGCGTGAGGAACCTTGCCCTCAGCGTGAGGAACCTTGTCCTCAGCGTGAGGAACCTCGCGAAAGGCCTCCGAAGTTTTTACTCTTGCGCAATCGAAAAACTAGATTCTCATGAAATAATATAATAACAATAGGGTTTATTATTAAGACTATGTTTAATGCACGGTACAGTATCTACGCTTTAAGTTCTCTCATTTCTCTACCTATCAGTTAAAAACTACATGATAACTTACAAGTTTGAGTGACGAGAATGCACGACGACTTCCGCGCGTGTCCTCAGCGTGAGGAACCTTGTCCTCAACGTGAGGAACCTTGTCCTCAGCGTGAGGAACCTTGTCCTCAGCGTAAGGAACCTTGTCCTCAGCGTGAGCAACCTTGTCCTCGCTGTCAGGAGCGCGGTCCTCAGCGTCAGGAACCTTATCCTCAGCGTCAGGAAACTTGTTCTCAACATCAGGAACCTTGTCCTCAGCGTGAGGAACCTTGTCCTCAGCGTGAGGAACATTGCGAAAGGTCTGCGAAGTTTATGCTCTTGTGCAATCGAAAAACTAGGTTCTCAAGAAATAATATAATAATAATAGGTTTTATTATTAAGACTATGTTTAATGCACGGTAGAGTATATACGCTTTAAGTTCTCTCATTTCTCTACCTGTCAGTTAAAAACTACATCATAACTTACAAGTTTGAGTGACGAGAATGCACGACGACCTCCGCGCGTGTCCTCTGCGTGAGGAACCTTGTCCTCAGCGTAAAGAACCTTGTCCTCAGCGTCAGGAACCTTGTCCTCAGTGTCAGGAGCCCTGTCCTCAGCGTCAGGAAGCTTTTCCTCAGCGTCAGGAACCTTGTCCTCAACTTCCTCAGCGTCAGGTACCTTATTGCCCTCAGCTTGAGGAACCTTGTCTTCAGCGTGACGAACCTTGTCCTCAGCGCGAGGAACCTTGCCCTCAGCGTGAGGAACCTCGCGAAAGGCCTCCGAAGTTTTTACTCTTGTGCAATCGAAAAACTAGATTCTCATGAAATAATATAATAATAATAGGTTTTATTATTAAGACTATGTTTAATGCACGGTACAGTATCTACGCTTTAAGTTCTCTC